GAAGAAGCGCAAGGAGCCATATAGCTCATCGGAAGCTCCTTCTGGTTCTACACTATCCCCACCGGCGAAACGACCCGTGAATCTCCCTGTTCCTGTCCAGGGACGGCAACCCCACGTCGTCGAACCAGAGGAGGGCTCGACTCCCCGGAAAAAAGATAAAGGCAAAGCCAAGGAGGGTGTATTGCCCTCGCCTGAACCCTTCCCTCTACCCACATCCGCACCCGCACCCGCACCATTCCCATTGCCCTCGTCTGTATCCGCACCCTCACCTGAACCCTTCCCTCTACCCACATCCGCACCCGCACCCGCACCCACACCATTCCCATTGCCCTTGTCTGTATCCGCACCCGCACCCACATTAACATCCTGCCCCCGTCGACTGCACCCCCTGCCCGTACCCAAGCCGCGCACTAGCGTTCCTTTTGTAAGGCCTATCGTGGACTCGCGGGGCGCATCGCCGGACTCGGATATTGTTGAGATTGAAAGGGATGTGTATGTGGATAAGGAGAGGGGGATAGGGAGGGAGAGAGAGGAAGATGTGGATGTGGGGAGGGAGAGGGAGAGGGGGAGAGGAGGGGATGTGGATGTGGATGTGGATGTGGATGTGGGGATGGACACAGATACGGAGGTGATGGTCTCGCAGATGTGGAGCCCAGATGAGATGGAGGGGTTTGAGGAGCTGGCGCTTGGGTATCTGGATCGGTACGTTGCTTTTCTTCTCCTTCTCCTTGAACTTGAATAGTATAACCGACTGAATATTGAATCTATAGATACATAAAAGCATTCGACCTAGGCCCTACCGCCCTGCGTCCCGCTTACGCGTCAAACGCGGTGTTCTCTTGTCGCGTGCCTTCCTCCTCCTCGGAGTCGTCACACCCCCTTTTCTCATCCTCATCTTCATCCACACGGACACGGACACACACAACCACAACCACCCGCCCCGCCCTCACCCGCGCCCTGGCGCAGCTTTCCTCCTCGTATAACTTCCTCCCCACAGGCCCAACTCAGGACTGGGACGTGCGCGTGCACTACGACGTCGCACCCCTGTGCGAGGAGGCGGGCGGGGGACTGCTGCTTACGGTGTATGGGGAGATTATGGGTGTTGGAGTAGATGCAGGTAAGGGTGGGGTGAAGGATCGAACAAGGGCAGGGATAGGAGAAGTGCTACGCCTAGATCAGGTTTTCGTGTTGCAGAAGAGGGCCGCGAGGAAGCAGAGTTGGAAGGGGGAAGAAGAGGCGTGGCCGTTGATTGCGGTGTCACATCAGATGAATATACGACGGCGGTTGGGCGACTCGGATGGGGGAGGGGTGGCATGTGCAGAGGAGTTTTCTTGGTTGCGTTAGGCCCTCAGATTGGTTGGATTTGGATGGCATTGCATTTCTTTGTTCTTGGTGGAATTTGGAATTGGAAAAGGGAGGGAGGAGATCAGGGAGAAGGAATGTGGTGTGGATTGGATCGCTAAACATGATAGGAGGATGTATTATTATAGCTTGTAATCGGCTTGTGTAAATCAGTACTGAGAAGGAAGAATGAGATCATGAAGAAAACTATAAGATGGCCGGCACGCACTTTGGTTGAACGGGACAAAAACTATCCTTTGTGTCACTATAGCCCACCGCGAGGGTCGAACTCGCAGCCTTCAGATTGAATGGTTAGACCAGTCTTAAAAGTCTGACGCTCTAGCCGATTGAGCTAGGCGGGCTCGAAATATTGCTTTATTTATATTATGAGAACCTAATGAAAAACGTTAGTTTATGACCTGCCCCCCCTTCATCCTTGTTCTCACCATTTCTACGACGGGTTCAGGTGTGAGTGCAGGTGCTCTCCCCTTCCTCACACCTCTTAAATGATCATAACAACCACAGAATCAAGATCGGGCACTCATGATGATCAGGTGTGTGATTCTTTAATAATTGTCGAAGTGTTGAACTAACAACTATTTCGGATACAGATAGAATATCTCGAGTCACAGATCGAGGGGTACAGAGCCCGGACGTCACAACTTCAACAGCACCTTCTTGATGCGCTTGATTCTTTGGACGAAGTGGTGAAAGGTCACAATGAGCAACTGGAGCAAGAACGCGCTGCGAAGGAGCAAGCCCAATCCAGGGTACGGAGTCTACATAAGCAGCTGAGAGCTTCGGAGAGGGAGAGGGATGACTGTAGGGAAGTTGTGCTAGAACTTATTGAAAAAGGTGCAGTCGTTTATCTCGTGTTCAACTCGAATATGAGGATTAACTTGGTAGGGCGCTTGCATAGTAGAACGGACCCATGGCGACCTCAAATCCTTTTCCAACCACAAGCTTCAAATATCAGCTTATGCAGGTGGGTACTCTATATCTGCTCGGGAAGATCTGTTCAAACCTTGACGCTTTGGTTTCGTTTCAATGAACAGATCCTCTCGAGAAACCTGCTCTGACCAGTTTCCAGCGAGATAGTGGGCATACCGTAAACGTCGATTGCATCGTAGAATTTCTAAAACGGGAGCTGCGCTCCGAACGCGAAGCCCATGCGGAGACGTGTGCACGCGCCAACAATCTAGCGGCCCAGGTTGCCAACCGTGATGCTGCTCTAGAAACATGGGCCCAGCAGGCTCCTGGCCCTTCCTTGTCTCCCATTGACAACACGTATGTCTCTGGGAAAGGAAAGGGGAAAGCACCTCAAGCAGCCAGCCATGATGCCGCTCAAAACGCTCCTATCACATCCACGAATGTCCATGGGATGGGAAAGGGGAAATCAGCGTTGAAACGCAAAGTCCCGGATGCTCAGCGGGATTTAGATCACGCCGAAATGTCGATCTTGTTTGAGGAGATAAACGCGAAAAATAGGGTTCTCGAGCAGGAGGTACACAGTCTCTCCAGGCATGTACGTATCTATATCTCCTCAAAAGAATGAATTCCTTCATTTTAATTGCTCGTTTAGGTGAAGGAGACGCGTCAGAGAGCGAGTGTACTCCTTGGAACCACAATTTCGCCGCCGAACCTCCCGTCGATGCCCCAACAGAGATCCGATGGTACCTCTAGCTACCAAGACCCAATTTCTCCCTTGCCCAATCCACCGAGAGACTCGAACCTGCCCGTTAGTGTAATATCGCCGAGTTCTCTGCCCAGCCCTCTGCCCAGCCCACCGCATCCATCGAGAGACGCAAAGCAGTCCACCAGTACGATACCACACGCCCAACTCCCACCATTGGACTCTCGGCCTCGCAGTCATTCGCACACTCCCCGCCCTCTGGCATCTTCAAGCCCCCATCATGGGCGCTCTCGACCCGGCTCACGACTCTCACAGCGGCCGCCCACCGTGTCATCCGAACCACACTCTCGCGCGCAATCTCGACATCGCCCTCCGACTCCAGGGCCATCTTCATTTGCATGCCCGCCCGCTGAAACCTTTGTTCAGCGACTCAACGAGCAGATCCAACTCCTCTCCTTGGAAATAGATGCTTTTCGTACTGAACGCACGGCTCTCACCTCTGTCATAGAATCGCAGCTGCACAGGGGCGAAGATGCAACGGTCACGCCGGAGACATACCGAAGGGATGCTTCGTTTGATTCCTTTGACGCGGACAGGGAACAATCCTTCAGTGTCGAAGCTGAGAGCGAGGCGGGACGGAGATTTGAGGCTGCGGTTGCTAGTGAGCCCACTGCGAATCGACATGGCTACGACTTTGATACTAAAGTCGTCGCTGGTAGTGGAGCTGGTAATGTGACAGACAGCGGGGAGCGCTCTATGGAGATGGCTACGCCTCTATTCTCCTCCTTAGTAACATTTCCGGAATCTGCCCCAGGTGAAGATGAAGGTGATGCACAACTTGAAGTTGGCGAAGGCCATGGACCCGGAGGGTTGGAAGCAGAAGTAGAAGAGGAAGAGATAGGAGACGGTCAGATTCGGATGATTCGCCCACGACGGAGGGCCTCGAGTTCTCCTCCCGCTCCTTGAACCCAATGGACGGACCCCTCACATGAACATTTCTGCTGACTGCGATTTCAACGCACTCAGCTTGTCAACGTACCACATCATACCACCCTTTTGGCATCCTATCGATCCACACCCTTACTATTTCCGCTCGCTCTTTTCCGTGGACTTGGCACTGGATGGTTAACCGGATATTTAACAAATAGGCCGCTGCGTCAGCACACTGATTGCTGGCAACCCACGAGCACTAGGTGCAAAGTTCTTGGTGACACTTCCTATCCCACCACTCTGTCATTGTTGGCGCGTACGCCCTGTGAAGCTCGAATTTTCTCAGCACGCAGGTTTAAATGCGATGGTCGGTCCAGGCCCAACTTTCCTTGGCCTATGTAAGTTTGATCTGTGGCCCTTTTTGCGGGTTTTTGTCAACTGGCCGGTGAAACTCCTACGCAAACGTGTTTTCCACTCCTTTCGAAATCCACTTCTTGTTTCGTGCGTTATGTATCCGATAACCACCGTTCCAGCTCCTCGGCGAACCGACACCCTTGACCTTATCGATTCTACAACGCAGATCGTTTGGGCACCAACCCCGAGTTGAACAACAACATTGAACATGTCGTCTGGATCCGAACTTCGAAGCGAAAATCATTACTCTGTGCCGTTTTTCAATGTTTGAGACTTTATCCGGCACAATGCTGTTACCGTATGGGCCTTGAAGGATCCTCGATGTATACCTAAGTATTGTATAAAGTGAAGCTTCTTGCGACGTGTTCGAGCCCATGGTCGGTCAGAGATCAACAGGACGTTATTGTGTCGTCCAACATACGTGGAACTGGTACAGCACGGAGAGAAACACTACCATTGCCCCGAACTGCTACATATCGACGGCACTTCTCTAAATACGATGACCACTTCATCGAATACCTCGACCAACATGGTGATGTCATTGGAGACTTGGCGCGGTGTGTATTTTAAGCCAAACCGCGGTGTTTTGATATCTGAGAGGTTCCTCATTAAAGGAGTCACTACCCCGCTTCACATCCTCGCAATTGGCTGCACTGTGTTTCGTTTATACCATAGACGACGGAAGCGCCAACTGTGGTGGGATGACTTCTGGGCAGCAATTGCTTTAGCCGCGGAGCTTTTCTATGTCACTTCATCGTGGCTGCGAGGTGATGACGGCGGTATGTCAATGACCTTGATATCATTTTCACATTTACAACTTCAAAAACAAATGCAGATTCACATACGCCGAGATTGAGGCGTATAATGGTGTTCTGGTTCACTACTACCTTGTGTCCCATCGTTGTCTGGTTTGTCCTTGCTCTATGTGTGAAGTGGTTTATGGATTAAACCAGAGACTTTTTGCAGGTCGGCCCGTGTAAGTATTGTCATGTCAATAGCACGCCTTGTTCCTGTGCAGACCCGCATGCGATGCGTTCTGTTCATCATGTCCATCCTCTTTGGTATGGTGTGCATCGGCGAAGTGCTCCCCAGAGTGATCACATGCACACGAAGTACGACATGGCACTATAATCCCAATGTGCGTTGCTACTACCTGGGTCGGTTTAACGGCATCTTTGGCTTATGTGGTTTGTAATTTGTGATCATTTCCACTTGGAATCTCGTGTTTACTCGACTCTTGTTCCTTTTCTTCTCAGCTGATTTGATTGCGGGTACATGTCTCGTCATATTCCCGGTCCGATTGTTGTGGCGCGTCAGATTGCCCCGTAGCCAGCGCCGTTTGATTCTGTCCATCTTTGCCTCGAGCGTTGGAAGCTCATTGGCAGGAATCGTATACAGCATTTTTGTCTTCCATCGCCTGAAGTACGGTCCAAAGTGGAACTGGCGGATATCGTTCGTCTCTGAAATAAAAGTAAGCCACAATTACCTTGTACGAACTTGAACCCCGAAGAGTGACTGATAATCCACACAAATTTTCCAGGCTTCCGTGACACTTCTCGTCTGTAACCTCCTTGTAATCGTCACATATCTGTATCGCATATTCCGGAGGGTCGACGACGAGATCATCCATATCGGATCAGGAACCCTCGTCAAACAATCTTACTCTGTATCACCTACTTTTGGGACAACCTCTTTGGTTCTAACAGAGATCAGCACCATATATACCACCGATACGTTCTGCAGGCGTTCGATTTCGCCCTCTATTGGATCAGTGCGATCCATGCCGTGTTATCCTTCTGCGCAAATCAGGCTGCCAGAGCGTTGTTTGACCATTTAGAATGGCAACGTATGTACCCGGAACTTAACTGTACAGCTGAAGTGTCTCAATGCTTATATATAGTGCCACCCGTTCACTGCAAACTCGTGTTGATTTAGTCGATCGAGTTAAGTAGGGGGATTGGAGAAATGCAGTCACGTCAGTGACCAGAG